TAAATAGCATTCGTCCTAATGGGGATTTCTTGTTACTAGTTGCGAAAGTCAATGTTACATTTATTGTAAAATGTATAGAAGTTGCCATGGTCCTGGTTATGGTTACTTTTGTGAACTACTTGGTAAGGGTGTGCGGAAATCGGCTTTGAGCGATGATGTCTCCGTTCTTTCAGTTTTGACACGGGTTGCTCTCCTTGTTCTGCGCTTCGCATTAACCTTCGTAACAAAATCTGCAATCGCTCCAGTGCTCAGGCTTTGGAGCCGGCATCGCCTCCGATCTCGCCGTGCCGCGTGCCCCTCCTCCACCTACCGCGCCAGCTTTTGACGAACTGCGTCGTTCTGGGCGCTGCTCGGCGAGAATCAGTCCGCCGCCTCAGATAGAAGTCGTACTTATCATATCACAACAGTCGATGATCAGCTCATTATCGTTCCTCTGCTGCTCAGCGAAGTTTGCAATAGTAACGATTTCGCTGGTCGCCCATTTATTTGGGATATTGCGTAAAGCTATAAAATGAATTAGTTATATATAGTTTCGTCATCAAAAATCTGATCTTTTGTATGAATTCAATTAATATACAAGTATTATAACCTATCTACACTTTTACTACATTCTTAAAACTCTTCAGTATTTGAGCTTAACAAATACATGGGATACAAGTATTATAGCCTATCTACACTTTTACTACATTCTTAAAACTCTTCAGTATTTTAGCATAACAAATAAATGGGATACAAGTATTATAACCTATCTACACTTTTACTACATTCTTAAAACTTGCGGTACTTCAGTATTTGAACTTAACAAATTCATGGGAGCTGTCTTTATTATATACTTTTTTTTAGGCACAAATCACCTCGTTTAGTAAGTGATCAACACACAAAAAAGATCTAAGTCGCAGGTCCGAAATGGCACTCCTTCGACGGAAATGATCATCATTGTGCTGTAATATTACAAGTCCAAGAAAAGTGGAGTGAAGCAGCCGACATTGGAGTGCTGCATTCTTGGTATGCGTCAGAGATTCCTAACGTTTTTGCCGATCTGATCGGCGGGACGGATGATGCCGGCGGTGATGCCGCTGCAGCAGCCCTTTCCTGCAGTCGTGTACCGAGAATTATGGCCACTAGCCCGTGCCAGACGCAACGCCTGTGCCGCAGCCCATCTCCTGCCCATCTCCAGCCCATCTTCTGTTCCTCCTCTGGAGAGGCCCACTGTGGCCCGGGGCGATCATGTACGACCTGGAGAGACCGGAGTTGCAGCCGCCTCGATGGCCCAAATGGCAAAGTCAAAAGACGGGGGAAGGGGGAACAAGCACCGAACGGACATGTCCACAGTGCGACATATCGGGGCTCCCAACCGACCATAATTACCCCAACGATCCGAGGGACCTGGACGAGGTCCAGGAGCAGGACAATCGGGACACAGCACCCACAACAAGCCGTCATCGCCATCCCAAACGGCGAGGTAATTTAGTAGCAGGACCCCGAGTATTCTAATATTCCTTCGGTTGGTGGGCGAAGGGGCGGTGGAACAGGGGGCGGGGCCGGGCGGTGCAGGGAAGGAAATTGATGGGCAGTTTTACTATGCTTTGAATACTTCAGACGTGACGTGAATAATGCGCACGATAAGGATCTCAAATGCCCTCTTTCGTGGGGAGTGCATGCAAATTTTCGAAGATTATGCGCCGATTACCAGCAGTTAAAGTGATTTGGAATTTTGTATGGGCATTGGAAATTTTACAGATTTATGTGCGCGCATTTGGGAATTTTGATTTTTCGGCAATTTCATATTTAAGTCACGGCAAACTTGTGGTCTGTATTCATGTTACAGCAGCATAAATCGGGAAAACAGTGAAACATCTTCCCATTTAGGGCACTTTAAGTTAATTTATTTTGATCGCATTCACTTAGGCAGCGCTTAAGCCGCCGATGGACTTTATTTATTTAAAAGGCTTTAAGAAAATAATCATAAATATAGACGTAAGGTCTTTCATCCATTTACCCACAAGGCAAACCTTTTGAACTTTGACTTCGTTCCGTATTCAATCAATATTTTTATTGCCCAGCTCGGCAATCTCATTGAAATTCCGTTTATCCTTCAAAAGATTTCCGCAATCTCAAAACCCGTAAGAACTGGAATGGTTTTGAGAGATGTTCTTAGATTTCTGAAATTCGTACATAGATATATTCCGATTTTTCTTACGTACTTCTGACAAATGCCTGCATTATTGCGACAGGATACTTCGTCATGTGCACAATGCACATGTATTTATTATCCGGCCCCGAAGGACTCGCCGAATATCAAACCAGCACTTGCCGCAGCGTTTTCTAATGGGATTATCTCGATGATAATGAACCGCACACCCAACAGAGCACCCGGAATGAGTCCGCAATTGGCTTTCCCATGACCAATGCAAACTAGAGCGTATTTGCCCGACGCATAAGCCTCTTTCCTGGGTGTGTGGGCAGGAAAAGAGCAATTGTATTCGGGCATGAAATTCAAATACAAACACGCGAACAATGCCGTTTATGAACCTGTCAATCCGAAATTCAATTGGGATCGGGATTGTGTGAATTGGAATCAGCTCGGATGGACTGGGTATCAATGCGATTGTTTAATCACTCGACACGACGCTTGTGAATTGGCGCCAGCTGCTAACTTGTTACAAATTTAATGCCCATGAGTGCATCTGCGTGGGTCCGTGTTTGTCCAAATGCTTTTGGCATTCAAGCGGCCCGGCTTGTTCGCGGCCGTATTAGCATTTATTTGCTTTATCAAAACAGAACGCATTCTTTAGGAACTCATTGGTACTTTAGCTCAATGGAAGAAAGGAGGTCCTCTTGGCCCGATTCTTCCTGGATTACGCGGTAATATTGCCCGTCCGTCCTTATGTAAGATGCCTATCTAATGGTGGAGTTCTTATAAGGAGCATATCCTCTCCGACTGTGTTTATTTTGCATTCAGGAGAAAATTTTTCGAACTTGGGACAGGTATGACTGGTGTAACAGCTTACGAATTGTATTGCATCTAAAAAAATTGAGAATAGTTAGGGATATACAAATAATAGGTTTTATATAACATGAAAGGCATTTAATGATCTTAAAGAAATAGGGGATGTTGTGGATAGTAATGGCAGCGTGGTAGCGGGGATTAGGCATTAAACTTTAAAACGAGTAAGGTGCATCTCTAATTCTAGGCCTAAGCTTTGTTCTTCACGTTTAAACCCATCGACACACCCTGAACTATCCACATAACTTTTTCCGTCTATCTGTTCGAACTAATTGGGGGTGTAATAGCGCTATTAACCGCTCCGAATGACAACACCCTTCATTCGCTCGTTTTGCGATCGAATGTGGGCCAAAGGTAACACGTTAACTGAACCATTTATGTAATTGAATGCGGCGGGCCAACCCGCAACCCTCTCGGCGCCGTGGGGGTGGCTAATTTAAACATCGAAAAATGTATTTTTTAATGACCGGCTCGGTTGAGTCGGTGTGCCAACACTTGACAAGTGCACCGGGATATGCACATAGCACTTATTAGGACATACATATATAATTAGGGGTATCGGCCTTGTGGACGTCTCGTACTCCAACTCCAACCTTGTTAACGTTGCCCGGCGAGGAAATGCGAAGAGTGACAGATTGCATGGCATTACGAGAATTTTGACAGATGGCCCTTCCCGATCCCGCTTTTTGATCTGACAATTTGTGGGCTCGAATTTAAAAGTGTTTTGTTATCCTTCAGTGCGCCTTGTTTGCCAAATAGGTAATTTAAATTTAAGCGAAAAGGGGTGACGGATTAAGACGCTTAAAAAGAGTACAATTCACAATACAGTCGATGTCAATATTACTGTCACAATATTTGGGATTATTCAGATGACGAACTCTTTGGTGTGAGGACAGTAAAAACTGAAACCTTTTTAACTTTATCCCATCAGATTGAAAATGCCACATTACATATTTAGGAAGAATATTAAGAAGGAATTGCTTCTCAATCTACAAAAAGGCATTGCGCCTTCTTCCTTCTAACTCAATATTAGTGCTTACTACAAAAAATAAGTATGATATTTATAATATATATTTTATTATAGAAACTCCTTGAAAAAACAATACTTAATATAAAACTTAAACTTAATATTCAAACTTAAATATAAAAATATATTATTAACTTATTACAAAATCGCGAGTGAATAAATATAAGAAACAATTTATTCAAATCAAGAAAAGACGAACTTTATCAATTCGTGAAACTAAGAAGAACCAAATAACCTTAAATGGCAAGTCACAAATGGCCAAAACTGTATCATTTGACCGCAGAAAGTGTGAACTGTGTCTCATTAAGTAAATGCCAACTATTGTTGAAGTCCTCGATATAATCATAATCATAACATCCCTAGGCGTAAATTATGGGTTACCACATGTTTGCTCGCCTTGTGGGTAAAAAACAAGCCCACGGGCCATTCGTTTTTTACGCCATCGGAGGCGTTCCTGTTCCACGGAGAAATTTGGGTATCGGCAAATTGTCACGTAGCCCTCACCGCCCTTACCCTGCCCAACATGGAGAAAATTGTTTTTAGCAAGTGCTGGGGATTCCCCCAGAAGAACTTCCCTGGGAAGGCGCCACGAATTGTAATTACAAATTTGAACTGCAACCACTCGGCACGCATCGCACTCCAGTCAATTTCGGGGTGGTCCGTGGTTAAGCGACCGTGTAATTCACGATTCTCAACGGATAGCCCGTCTCCTGTGGTAAAAAGGCATTTAATTACGGTTTACACTTTCAGTTGGATTAATTCGTCTAAATTGAGTCTGGCATCGGACCTCATTTGCTATTTTAAAAGAGGTTATGGACATAATATATGCATACATGTATACTCCTGAAACGATTGTAAAACCTACAATCGAATATAAAGATAAAGAACATTTTTATTTTTTCAAAACCCCAAACGGAAAACGAAGTAGGTGATTATTTTAAATTCGGCGTTCCAACACATAAATATGTTATAAGTTTGCGACCACCCAGTGACGAAGGTTGTTGTGTGATCAAGTAAACTCGAAAAATAAAAAAAAATCTTGAATTATTCCAATTTTAACTTTAAGCGAACTTTTAAACTCAAGTAAGCGAATACAGAACATTCAATTTAAGATGTCTTCAAAAAATTAGAGCAAAAATTAACACTTTTCGGCAAAGTGAAATTTTTCGTCAAAATTTAATTTTAAACGCCAATTAAAATCTAAATATATCAAGTTTATTGTTAAATAAAGAATTTATTCTAATTAGTATACTACAAAGTAAGTGAAATTATCAACTATTGTATTTTTTGGTTGTCGGTTTTCCTGTTGTATTCTTAAAGAATAATAATAAATATTATTTACATTTTTGTTATTCTAGTTAATGTTTCTATGCCACCTGCATGATATAGTCGTCCATTTTGAATTATATTAAAACATTTTGGTTCTTCATAAATTTTGGGCAAAATCAATAATGATCAAAAGCAAAGATACATTTCTTTTTACCAAAGGCAATAGAATCATTCGAATGTCTTTGATTTTACAGTCGGACCGTTTCGATTGGTGTGTATAGACTGACATGTATAGAATCAAAAGAAAATAATGCACAAAGTAAATTTCTTTTCAGAGATTTAACACCACATGGCTGACAAACATCTGGACCAGAATCTTCTGACACAAGGCAGCCCCACCAAGACGCCTTAAAGCGAGTTCAGCTTTACTGTTCTAGAATGCAGTTTATATACCCAAACTCGAAGGAGTTCCACATTAAGAAGAGCAGCAGAAGCAGAAAAAAATGTCTGGACCCTTGAAATTCATTTTGCAAATGCATTTCCATTGGCTCGGAAATCTTTCTCTGTCAGGTGTTGATTTTTTAAAAGTGGAGCTCATTCGATTTTGAATATATAAAATAACAGTTCTTGATATGTATGAGTTGGATTTGCACCTTGTCTGACAGAAAAACAATTTGGAAATCCTGCTATACAATGTTTAATTGCGGGGGATAATGCGCCGGACCTTAAAATCTCATAACCATTGAAAAGGTGACTTGGTAGCATGCAATACTCAATTGGAAATGTGCAAAGAGGGCAGCACCTATCAAGCGTCTTAAATTCAGAAGATCAAACGTTTATGATGGCCTCGAAGGACTCGACACCTTAAACGCATTTAATCTTATTTCCGGCATGTGTTGTTTTTTGAGAAATGGATCTTATTCAATTTTGATAATATGGACGGCATTCTTTAATAAGTTTCCCACCACAATGGAAATAGCTGAACACCAGAAAAAAAAACAAATATTGTCAACAAAATCTCGAAAGTTTATATATGCATACCAAATTTAAGTCTGCGTACCAACGCTTGCGAAAAAAATATGTAAGTCGAACAAACTAATAAAAATAAATATACCAGGTCTCAAAATAACCTCTACAAATTCCAAAGTACCGATATTTCTGCACAAAGGCACGTATATTTAAAATAAAATATCTCATGAATCGATTTTTATTTTACAAGCTTTAATTGCTAAATCCAAATTGTCTAGGAATTGTAATTAGAAAATGCTAACAAAAAATTACACCACATCATTCAGGTAACTACTTCGCACCGTCCTGATTGGTGGCTCCCGAAATGAATACCAACAGAACTACCGGAACGATGTACATCCACTAAAAATGAATAAGTGAAATTAGAATAAAGAATTGCCGCCTAAAATACTTGTACTTACGTATTTGGCGAAAAAGCCGCGGTTATCCCGAACCTCGCCGCGCTCTCTGGCTTCGCGCTCCCGCTCCACCTTCTGAATGAAGCCAGCAGTATCCGGCACGGGTGCTAGTTCAGCGTGTCGAATGAGCACATCGGTGCTGAATTGCTTTTCAACCAGCTTATTCACGTCTTCCTGGGTGCACTCTACGGTGGCCGGGGCCGTGTCCTGGGACACAGTGATGCCGGTAACGTATCCGGAGGGATCAAGCGACACCCAAAGCACGTCATTCAGTTGGGCTTGCAACAGACGGCAAGCCTTGTTGGAAGTGATGAACTGCGCCTTAGCTCCATTTGAATAAACCACCGTGGCCTTCAAGCGGTAGAACTCGTTTCCTAAAGCCAGTTTCTAAAAGAGTTGCAATTTTAAGGGGGATATTATTAAGTCCAATAGAAAAAACAACAATAAATGTGGATGTTTTTTTACATCCTTAGAATACAATGGTTGATGTTGGTAAAGTATGTTCAATACATACATCTGGGCAAAATCATTCGCTTGTAAACTAATGTTGTATTAATTATCGGAATTCAATTCAATCGCTAGACTATATGTACGTCTACGTTTATAATCATGCACGATGTACATACAACAGTCCGGTAAAGTGAAAAATGCTGAACATTTCCCTACCGGTGTGCCCGGTAGTCTGATGCCCAAACCACGGTTACCTTTAGCAAATCCAGATCGACAATGCTCAGAGCTGGTTGCTCCACATTGGCCAGTCCAGAGTTGAGGCTTGGAATCGTCACGTTCCCGCGGAAGGAGAAGCTTTCAGAGTTGGCAGCCAGCGAGTGCTGGAGCTCTACTGTAATCCAGCTGTCATGCTCCAAGAATCCCTGGTAGAAGCGTTGTCTTAGCTCGTTAAGTACATTACGCAGAGGTTAAGCACTTACCCAGCAGCTGGCCACCACACCCAGTAAGAAAATGAGCACAAATTTCGCCTTTGAATACATGTTTTCCTAGCAAACGTCTAATTTTAATTTTAATTTGCCAATCCTATGAGGGTTGCGAATAGAGTGACCGCGTCGTGTAAAAACACCGTATGCTTCTGGAAAACATACTAAAATATACTGCGAGTAAGATGGGGTATTCCGATCTCTCTCTACGAACGTCTGAACTGATACCAGCTGTTTGGCATCCACAATTTAGCTTAACCCTATAATTTAAGTGTGCCAAAAATATTTTTTAGTGCTCAACTTTTTGTTTTCTTATTCTGGGATTTCAAATGCGAGATTCAGAACTTGTTTTTCCAGTTCTGATCCAGTTTGTATCTATCCAGTTTTGAAAGAAATTTGGAAATTCTATTCGAAACTCCTAGCCGAAGGCCATAGCAGCCAGCGCTTTACACCAATGTTACCTTTTAAGATTTTAACTTAAGACCGTCGACCGTCTATTCGAGTTCCTTAAAGTTGTTGAAAAAGAAGCCTAAAACTCTTTAATTACAGTGAATGAAAGGAAGAAATGTATCAAATATTTTTTAAGTTCACTACTATTTTTTTTTTTAATATTCAACGTCGAACCTGTGGTTTTTACTCTCATTATGTTGGGACTTAGTAGGCCAGTAGAAGATTTATAAATATGGCTATGTAGCAATAACTGCTGATCTAAAAAATCCCAACCATAATGGGGGCACACACGGATTCCGATTAAAACCCGACTTCTTTAGAGCTTATAAAAAACTAACAATCGATCTGAAGTTAACCTGAACTTTTATAGTTAGCGTCGAGGGATCAGTTTTGGACTCAATATAGGTGTGACGTAATGGAGTATTCATAAATATGTGGACATAATTTTGCTCAAAATTAACCCTGTAAAGTGTTGGCTTGCTTTAAATAACTAAGCATCTACAACCTAAGTATTATTTTTTTTTTCATGACAATAATTTAACCATTTATGGCTAATATTAAGAGGTCACCAATCCAATTTATTTTAAAAACATATATGTACACTGGCATCTCCTTACAAATAAGTACTCGCATTGTAGTGTTAAAATCACATAAAATGTGAAACACGATATATGTGCTTTTGTAGGGTTTTAAAACGAGGACAAATTGAAATCTGATAAAACAAATTGTCAGGCATGATTGCCTTTGGACTTGTTACTTGTTACCGGCTTACAGATTTTACTCCGATAAGGCCAACAGTGTGAAAAGAAGTCGCAACAAGGCTGGTCATTCTACGAAATGAAATAATATTATATTCCTGCCGTCAAAAACAAATTATAGATATTTTGTATAGTATTGAAAATAAAAATCAAGTACTTGTTTTATTTTAACGAAATTTTAATACATATCATAAATCTTCTGATTAACCCTCAGTGTGTTTAAGTCTTTGGGAATTTCATACCATGGCAAACTGTTTTTGAATTGTGAACAATAGAAACACATAGATGTTCGTTGTAGTTCAGGTCTCGAAGCAACTACAGAGAAGATTAAAAATGGTTAACTAAATATTTTTAAGAATACGTTTCTATATTTACCTTAGGTGTTACAAATAAATACTGCGCGGAGCCGTGCTTGGTGGCTTCTTTGAGGAGCAAATCGAATATGTGACGTTCATTTGTAGCATCCATTCCTTGATTTATTTCATCAACACATCTAAAAATTATAATTTTAAATCAGCTTGAAGTTTACAACTGACTTCCGCAATTACCTGAATGGCACATGAGTGACATGTTGCAAGGACAATGAGTAAATTGCGATAGAGACAGCGCGTTCGCCACCAGATTGTATAAACTTATCCAGCGGCTGCAATTGAATACCTCTCCTGAACTGGACCATTATCTGAATTCCATATGAGTCAAAGTCATACTAAACAAAATAATGTTAAATAAATTTACAGTAAAATTTATATACACAACCATTTTAGTTCTCACCTTATCTGTTTTGGATAACACAACTTCTCCCACGTATTCAATGGACTGCATAAATTCGCTGAACTTGGTACTGATTGTTTCTACCAAGCTATTTAGTTTGGGCTCCCATTTGTCGTATAAATTGGACATTTCAGACTCCATGCTTTTTGCTTGGTTAACAGATTCTTTAATACCTTCATCCAGTTTTTTGACTTCATTTTGCAGTTCTTGATAGCTGTCGATGGCCTGTATATGTTTATATGGAAGGTTATAAGCTCAATCAGCTTTAATTCACTACTTCAAAAGAGGGTTTTGCTATAATAGTTATCCACATTTCGATTTACCTCGGAATTTACACTTTTCATGCACTCCAATCGTGCCTGAAAGTCATGTATTGCCTCTCGTAGTCCGGGCAAATCTATATTTTTCAACTCCCTAAATTCCTTCTTAAAAGGAAATTTGCTACTGGTTGGAATTTCTCCGTCGCACAGGCGCTGCACATCGCTCTTTCGTTTGTTCACATCGATCATTTGATTTTCTAAGCCCTGCAGCAGTTGTTGAAAGTCTCTCTGCAAGTAAAAGAAATCCTATAAATCAATACATAAATGCATATTTATTTGCTTACGGTTGCTGCTATACTCTGTTGCTCGCTTTCATTGAGGGTTTCACATTGACTCTCATGTTGCAGCATATAAGCGGATACTCTTGCACGGGAAAATTTCTTTTCAATCATAAGTCGTTCTACAGTTTGCAAGCAAACGCTCAATTTCGCCTCGGTATCGACTATTTTTGTTAAGTCTTTTTGCAAACTATTATAAAAATTAGTTTTAAGAGAGTCTAGCGCTGAAAACACAGTTTATAATGGCTGATTATTTAGTTCACTAAGAAATACTTACTATTGTTGTTCTGAAGGGCTTCGAGCTTCCTTCTGAGCGTTTCCACTTCAATTTTAAGGCTATTAAAATGGGTTATTTTTTGGTCAAGCTTGCGTCTTTTCTCTTGCTCATCCCTTGCTAAAGTTTGCAAACGTTCAAATTCATTGTCGGTCTTGGTTATTGCATTTTTTATGCTGTCACTTTCCCTGACTGCTTCGGAGCACTGCTTCATCACCAGGGCCAGTTGTTGTGAATCCACTGTAATAAGTTGGTTTCTCGCTCGGATAGTACTTTCTGTAAGAATTGTATCCGACCGATAGCGGGATGCAGTCACAACGAACTTCTTGCTTCCTGAAATGCACAATATAGAGGAATTTAACCTCAGAAATAATACTTTCCTAAGTAAAGAGAGTAAAGGCAATAAAACAATACTCACCGCCGAAATAAACTCGGATAGTTTTTGGAATGGATGAAGTGTAATCGCTCACAGTTTCTGTGCCAATTGGTATGTTATGAATTGAGTAGGAAGCGCACAGCTTGTTTATTAATGGTATTGGTCCAGTAACAAGATCCACAAGATATGAACGAAATCCGAAAGAACTGTAAAAGTACTTAAAACTATAATTGTTATGCATATGGGGCAAAAGGCTAATACATACCGCAGATCATCGATCGGAATTTTGGGACAGTACGCGAGTCTATCTGATGGTGCGCAGTAAATAACGTTGACTCCCAATTTTTGCTTTACACACAACTCGTTGATCAAGTCCGACATATCTTCCTTGTTCTCACACGCAAATGCAAATAAATCACGCTGCGACACAACGTTTTCCAGGTACTTTGCGTACTCATGATTTTCGACTGTAAGCTATAATAGCGGTTTTAACATTATAATAGGTCAAATTTTAAAAGCTCACCTCAAGTATCATTGGGTCATAAACGTTCAATTTATACCTTTGCTTATTTTGTGCCAACCAGTTCATGGCCATAACCAAATTTGGATTTTTCATTCTAATTTCCTAAAAGAGAAATGCAACGTCAAGTTTTTTCTTAATTTTTTTCAGTACAAACTTACATCAATCTTTTGCATTTTTACGTTTTTCAACCGCTCTATTTTATGCTTATACGCAGTAATTTCGGGAATTTTTTCATCATTTAGTTTTTGCTCCAGTTGTTTCCGTCTGTTGTACTGCTCCATTGCTTTACCGCGCGCTGCTGCGCACGATTCCTTAGCGATTTCAAGCTCCGAAACGAACTGAGGCCTGCTCTTATTCAAGGTTTCCAGCTCGTACATTTTATTTTCCACCAACTGATTCAATTTATCACATTCTGTGGCCGTTCTTAGTGATTTTTGAATGCTTCGCTTTTTGAAAGAATATTAGATTAGGAATTATTTAGATGTTAGATAACTTCAACAAAAAAAAAAACTAACCTCCAATTCATTTTTTTTTTCTGAAATTCCTTGCTTCAAAGAGTCCAATTTATTTTCAATTGCAGTTTTCTCTGACTCAGCTTTTTCTAATAAACGTGTCTATAACAATTCCAAAAACTTATTTTTAAAAAATATATTTGAAAACACGGTCAACCATTACCTTTTCCAAGCAGGACTCTCTAAGTGACACTTTTTTTCTCTGAATTACTTCATGGGCTTGAACAAGTTTGTCATGTTGGTCCTTCAATTTTTCGCTCTGAGTTTTGGCCTTTTCCACATGAGTTTTCATTTCTGCGGCCTTAGCTTCTCCAGCCTGAGTCTCAACCCACAATTTCTTCGCACTGTAGACTTGCAACTTTTGTTTGACCTCTTCGCGATCTTTATATTGGGCAACAGTCATTTGTAAACTATTAAATTTATGAGATTATTAGGTCTTTTATGAAGCACAGTAAAATTTTTACTTAGTCTACATTCGATTACATTCTTTTCTTCTTAGTGAATAAAAATAAATAAATAGGGGGCAAGAATATGTCTTACTGTTCCAATCGTTTTTGCTTTTTAGCCAGATCTAGTTTCTCTCTTTCACGATTAGCTTGAGCATTTGTCTGTTGTAGGCGCATTTGCTTTAGAAGGTTGAAGCTTTTTGTCAGTTCATCGTCACACACGGAAGACATTGTGTTGAGCAACAGCTCTTGAGGATTCATCTTGGAGAAGTCCTGAATCAGTTCGTTCACAATAAATAGGTGCTTTATTTATGATGTACCACATAAAAATAATGATATAAAAACATACCTGAACACGATCCTGAGGGAGGAACTGACACAAATTGCTGACTTGTATATTAAAGGTGGATACGGCGGCCAGGAAGTTCTTCTTGGAGGTGTCCTTGTCGTTCACGGAG